CAGAGTCTTGTCACGTCCTGCCTGTTGCACCCAGATTATCAAGGTCAGTCCTTCGATATTCCAGTCTGGTACCCAGTGAGGTATGCACCGCTGGTGTCTGCACCCGCAGCTGGTATCCCCAAACCCACTCACTCTAGCCCTGCTGTTCCTGAAATGATTCCCCTGTCTGAAGCGCTTCCCATGATGGGGATCACTTTTTGGTGTGTTTGGGGCTGCATACACTACCACAGAACCTCCTGAGATGGCGGTGCTCGCTCCAGATCCTCCAGAGTTGGCAGCTGAGGCAGCAGAACCTCCTGAGGCGGCGGCACTCGCTTCAGCTCCTGGCATGGTGGTGGCACCCAACAATACACTTTCAGCCTGTCATGTCACAGTCGAAGGAACCGCAGATGAATACTGTACCTGTCCTGTTAAGCATCTGTGAACTCACTTCCTGTCCTGTAATGGCTATGGAGGCCGTCTGTAAACTCACTTCCTGTCCTGTAACGGCTATGGAGGCCGTTAGTGAATCCCCTGCCTGCCTTGTTAGGGCTATGGAGGCCAATTATAGAATTTTGTCCTGTTCCGATCCAGCCGAGAAGGCTGGTTGTGAACACTCTGTCTTGCCAGTCCCAGTCCATGAATCTAAATATGAACTCTCTACCCGTGTTGTCTCCACAAACATCTCTGTAGAATCACCCGTCTTGCCTATCCCGGTCAGTGAGTCAAATTATAAGCTGTCTATGTCACGAATCCTGTCCATGAACTTCCATCCACTTGCCACCAGAGGTCGCCCTCCCATTATATTGACTCTCACACCACACAGACTATTACACATCACCCTGGACTACATTTCCCATGCTCCATTGCGCTAATCACAAGCTCACCTGAAACTTATCACACACAGCTGCTACCAATTACACCCACTATAAGAATCAGTCTCAAACAACCGTTCACTGCCGAGTGTTGTTTAGCGCTTATCGCTAATCGTGTGATAGCTACGTTACAGAGCCATTTCAGAGTTTTGTCTAGTTCCTAGTTCTAGTCTAGTCACGTCTAGTTTGGTGCCTGATTGCCTGTTTCCTGATCTCCTGCCTGTCTTGGATTCTTCTATTGCCTACCTCTCTGGACATCTCAGACCCACGCTAGCCTTTGGATTACTCTTCATCTTGCCTCTTCTGTTACTGTTTGCTGTCTATCGACCCATGCCTGTTTCATGACCACGCCTTTTAATAAAAGCATGCAAATGGATCTGCACGTCTCACGTCTCTGTCGCCCCGTAACAGTAGTCTTGTGTATTCTCCATATTGCTAAAGCTGCAAATTCAACTCCTTGTTACAAATATGGTAGAACCATCACTTCTACCACAAAAGACTGCTTTGTAAATAATATTCCTGACTTGTCTCAATTCCTCATCATATCCAATATCTCAGAAAAATTTGATGGTGTAACAGAGACTATTGACGCTCTCTTTTCTAGCACTTCAGACACAGTCGCTCCTTTATGCTTAACTTGAACCATTCCAATCGTCTGTTTTCCATAATTTTAGTAGTGGCCAGCTGTGTATGAGACATATGTGATGTACTCACCATATGTGAAGGCACTGTGGCCAAAATGAGCTATACATACATACATACATACATACAGTGAGTATGGATCTGCATCATATTACAGCAGATGTTGGCTCACATAGGAAAAGCCAATCTTATAGTAGCATGACCAGAATAAGAGTATTTGGTGCCCTGTCCATGGAAATGTCCACATTTTATAGCACATTCAAAACACCCCGCAAATAAACTGCAATAGCCTGATCAACATAGCCTGCTGGTTACCAGAGAAACCATGTAGTAAATGTTTTTACCAACAGAAGGGGCTGCAAATTACACTGATTACTTGATTGTGCACTGTTACTTTAGCCATAGAGAACTTAACCTGGATGAGACCAGAGCACTATTATCACTTATTAAAAGAGACACTGTAATTGGTTTCAAGGTAGCCACAAAACTGTTCATATATGTACTATATAACAGGGCCTGTACTATATAACAGGATGCAGGATTCTTTTGCAAACAATTTTAAATGTTCTGAATGTCACAATGCAGTAATTCCAACCCCCACGCACATACATATACATATTAACAATTTTGTTATAATATTTGGATCTATTTGCAATGGCTATTATTACTATTTTTCACAGGTGTTTTTTTTTTTTAGATTTTTGGTGAATTATATTAAAATCATATTAACATGTGAGATTTCAATGATATTTTGGATCACTGGGCTAGAAAATATCTTCCGTTTTGATTTCAGAATCTGGTCACCTAATCTTTCAGCCAGATCTGTGTACAGTCGGCATAGCTTTGGCCAATGATCTTATCACCAATGCTGGCATTGAGCTGACAGTGGCCTACTTCTGCTAAAATCAGCACAAATGTGCTTACTATCTGGTCCCTCTAATCATTTTCAATGAAAGTCTGAGGATGGTTGCTAGGGTGCTGTAACTGAATGTCAATATGTTTTGACTGATTGTTAGGCTGAATCAAATAAGCCTATAAGTCTCCATGGCATGTATTTTTGAGTTCATGTTTCTAACATGTTGCTAACATGTTTTAGCACATTGCTAGTTGTCAAATGTGGTCCATCATGTTTGCTGTGAACCCAGCCAGGATTACCACATTCAATGGATAGTCCAGTCGGTGAAGCATGGAGGTGAGAGTGCAATGACATGAGGCTATATGAATGCAAAAGGTGTTGGGGAGATGAAATGTATAAATAGCACCATACATGTCTGTTGATATAGCAAAATTCTGGCTGACATGATGACTCCTAGTCACCAGAAGCTTGGCAGAAGAGAACAATTCCAGCATGATACTGATCCAAAGCATGCTGCCAAAAACAAATCTCTGAAAATGTATTTGTGCAATAGTGATATCCTCCAAGGAGGATTAAGTTTGTCATAAATACAGTAAATATTTATAAAGTGGATGTAAAAATTCTTGAAAAAAAGAAAAATATTGAAGCCAGTAACCACATGATATCCTACTTACAAAACATCATAAATTATCAAATATGTCTGATATGATGAAGACGTTTAGTGCTGGCAATAATCAGTATGTGATTTGATTGTGTGGGTGGATCAAGTCCATGTAAGAATCTGAATGTCACTAGGCCAGCCTATAACACCTCCAAGCCAATTATAACCACTTTCTTGCATGTTACACTACCTAAATGAAGAAAAAATCATTCTCTCTGGGGTAGGCAATTAATTAAGCAAACATTCAGATCCATTGATGTAGCTACAGTAATTGGGCATGACCAATATATTTTAACTTATGCAAATGACAACACAGCCTCCAGGCACAAATAGGGTGGCAGTTTTTAAGGGAAATTGTACAGATGTATAACTACCATGGCTAAAAACATGACGGCAAGACCTGGAGGAAAATCTGAGTTTGCAAGATTAGAAACATGAGCTTGTGTCATGTTCTAACAAAGAGTAGATGTGCCGTGGGGCTAATACTGTGTGATAAACACTAAAATCATGTTTAAACAGTGTTATGTTCACAGATGTATGTATGTATTTCTTTATTCATTTGTTTGTTTGTTTCTGGAGTGTATATTGTAAATGTCTGTGTTTGTATTCTATGCTGTGGCTGCATCCAAAAACGTACTCTCTGTGTACATTACCAGAACATACTAAATTTCAAAACCCAAAACTACCTCCCTAGTTCAAAATATAAATTATTATTTTCTACCCTTCTGAATTGTAAGGATTTGAAATCGGGAGAATTGTGACATCATAAGTTCCCCTAGACACACCCCCTTAACATGCATCATCGTCATATGTAATCAAGGAGGTCTGTTCTGAACAACACGTCTTTCCATCAATCACAAGAGTGATACTGCTGTTAGGTAAAGAAAAACCTCTGGAGCAGTAAATTCAAGATTAGCACGAATCTATCAGTTATTTGATTTCTTGCATTTTATCAAAACTCCCGTTATATTTAATGACTGTTTATACTGCCCAGTGAGTCTCTTATTTACATCGTGTTTTCTCTGTTAGTTATGATGAAACTATTCGTGAGATTGCAGAAATCATGTTGCAATAAGATCATTGTATCGTATGCTCAGTAGACATGACTGTGTGCTACACTGCAGCACTGCAACCTTTGAGGCAACGCAAGTACTTTTAAGTTATAATGCTAAATATACTGAAGCTGCTAGAGAGCTTTTTATCTAGAAGTTACTGAACAAGCAAAATAGGTGAAAATGTAGGCATTCATTGATGCACAAACAATTTTTATAATATATTTATTGTATATTGCATCATAATGCTGCCTTCACGTGATATCAGAATTATCATAAATAGGAGTTCCTTGTCAGAAATGGGATATGAAGGCCCTCTCAAGTCATATTTACAATGGGGAAACTCTGAGATCATTTTGATACCCAAGTTTATGAGTTGGGTGTGTCATAAACTTTAAACATGGCGGACAGAAACATAGCTATAATACTGAAAAGTTTTATTTGTTTTTCCCTCAACATCTACATTTCTCTTGTTGTTACAGTAAGGTACATTTACATATATAAATAACCATTTCTTTGCATTTCATGTATTGTAAACAACAAAAAATGGCATATCTGACCAAAATTTCAGCATCAACAACAAGCTAAACATCTAGATAGTGTTGGAAACTTTTTCCTCATCGAAGCAGAGACCAGGAGACGTTGGGATATGTTTCATACAGAAGTCACTCTTTATTGAGGACTCGAGCGTCGCTGCAGTCATCCAAGTCTGACTATAGCTCAGCACAGTAGAATTTATACCTTTCAAGGGGGAGGGATACATAGAGCTGGAGACAATCTAAACAAAGCATGCAAATGCAATACAGGAATCAGCTCGCCTGTTGCATTCGGTTCTTTCCTGGGCTCCTCACTGGTCCGTGTGTCCTATCCTATCCCTGTAGGTGGAGGAACAACTTTACAATGTGAAACATGAGTCCAGGTTTTCCTTCCCTGACACAACACTGCAGCTGCTGTAATCAACATTACTTGATGTGGTCCGTGCCACTTAAGCTCTAACGGTTTGTTTCTGAATGACTTTATCATGACCCACTGACCTCTAGAACAAGCGGAGTGATACAAAATTGTGAAAGGGCGTTCCTGTAGCGATACCAGTACAATATCTCATGGTTCTCAACCAGAGAACCAGGAGAACCAGAACGAACTGTTGTATAAATATAATATATATATATATATATATATATATATAAACAAATTATGATATGATTAAAAATTCACAAACAAACAGAGAAAACGGAACAGAGAAAACGGAACAAATCTCTTCAGTTTCATTAAAAACAACTTCATTTGTGTTTCAAAGATGAACACAACTGTAATGGCTTTAGAAGGACATGAGAGTGAGTAATTGATGGCAGATTTTTCAAATTGTCATTAACTATGCCTGTGATAGTGACGACAGTGTTGGACGAGAGAGGACCAGGCCTGGATTTTATTTTGTGTCGGAAGTCGTCCGCGAGGGGCTGTCGCGCTATTTTCGGAGGAGTGGTGGGCCGTCCACCAACGATGTCCAGTACCATTGCATGGCACCGCGAGTGAGAGCCTCTCAGCCGGTTGAGGACCAAGCGGTAGTGTGTCCGGGAACCCGACCGATAATGAAATTTTTTTCTTTTCCTCTCTCCCCTCTCTCGTATCTGTCTCTCCTCATCCTTCCGTCTCCTTTTCTCTCGCCTCGTCTGTCTGTCCTTACCCCCAGGTACGCCGCGGCCGCCGTGATCGGCTCCCCCAGGGGGTGGCGGGGGGGGAGTAGAGCGCAGTCTCTGGAGTACCCCGCGGCCTGCGAGGGGCGATGGGGGTATGTGACGAGTGGGGGCGGGGCCGAGAGCCGTGGGAACGGAGCGAGGCCGGTGGAGTAACTGATAATGAGCGACACCTGCACCACTCACCGGTCTCGAGTCCCATGGAGGAGCTCCGGAAGGATAAAAGGAGGAGTGACGACGGTGTTGGACGAAAGAGGACCAGGCCTGGATTTTATGTTGTGTCGACAGTCGTCCGCGAGGGGCTGTCGCGCTATTTTGTTTATTTTATTATTAAAGTTTTCTTTGAACATTCGCCGGTTCCCGCCTCCTTATTCCCGACCTACGAACGTTGTTACAATGCCTTTAAATCATACATAAATGAATGCATGAACTACCTCAAAATAGGAAGGTCTTAAATTAAAACTATACAATCATCAAACATAAGGCTTGTGTTGTCAGTGCTCTGTCTAATATGCTAAGGCATTGTCTTTTCCTCTTCTGCCACTGTTCTATGTGCTTGTATTCGCAGACTGTGTATTTGTAAGGTGTTCAGTTGTATTATCTGAGCTATCGCTCAGTGGGGGTGACATCGACATTGAAGGCTCCAGCCCTGCCATCCAAACCACTTAATAATACACCACACTAGAAAGGTAGGGCATACGCAGCAGCAGGTCAGGCTGGTGCTGCCTTGCACACAATGGCAGTTTTGCAAGTGGACCAGGCTGATATGGTGAAAAACGTAGGGAACTTTCACACTAGCCCGTTTGGTGCGCACCTGGGTTCAATTGACGTCAGAGTTTGGTACGCTTGGCTAGTGTGAAAGTTGTCATGTGAATGTGGGTGTGCACCGGGTACCGAACTGAGACTACCTGAAAGAGGTGGTCTGAGTTCGATTGTACTTGAACGGTGGCTCGGTGCACGTGAATATGAAAGCAACACGGACTCGGGTGCACACTTGTTCAAATCAAGTCACGTCAAGTCACCTTTATTTGTATAGCACTTTATACAATACTGATTGTGTCAAAGCAGCTTTACAGAGTCAAACAGGAAAATAGTTTGTCAATGATGCAGGAAGACAATAACAGTACATTTTCAGCTAAAGTCAGTTCATTGATGATTCAGTGATGTCATCATCCAGTTCAGCTCTCTTACAATAGTGTCTGTGCAATCAGTCAAGCATCCCCAACTAAGCGAATGTAGTGATGTTGTTAAAATGTCACCATCATTAACTATGTCGCCAATGAGCGACCGCCCGGCTAGGGTATATAAGTTGGTTGGTTTCTGCCTCTTGGAGTGCGTCATGGTTGAAAGCCCGCCCCTTCCTTTCTGTTATGGACTACCAAGGTAGGTGTTCGTAGCCGCTTAGCTGTCTGGTTGGAGTGTTATTTTGTGATTTGTGCGATCTTTACTTCTTTAGTGTGGTGTTAGATTGCTGAGATATACTGTGTGCGGTGTGCTGTTTGCTCTCAGGTAAGTTAATGATGTATGGGAAGCTGAGGGAAATTGGGTTCAGTTTAATGTGAGTTTTGTGTTTCAGTGTGGTGTGCCTTCATGGCTCCCATTGATTGTGGCTTCACAGTATAACGTAACCCAGGTCGCAGCACCAGCTGTTGTCGCTTTAGCCTTTAAGGAAGAGCCTTTAAAGAAGTTGTCGTATGATCCTTAGATCTGTTGTTATGAGCATTACACCATCGTATTAACGGGTAGGTAAATTGCTCTAACAGCTAAATAAACTTGCATGTTTTATTGCAGTTGCTATTGTTGTGTGTGTGTGTGTGTGTGTGTGTGTGTGTGTTTTGGAATAGGTTGAGCGGGAGCAGTAATTAATACAGCTCGTTTCCTATTCTTCATTGTTTGAGCCATGCTGCTGCTTTTGGAGTTTAATTACGTCCATGTCTAGCATCCAAGTGGGCTTGACGTTTGTTTGTTTATTTGTTTTTGTTTTTTATTTGGTATTTTGTTTTGTATTACTGTCACTGTAGCGGTTCCCATCCCATTGTACTGATTACCGCTATGCGGTGGTGATGGTACGGGTCATCGTGTAACCGTATGACCGGTGATCGATTTAAAGGTGGTGTGACTTACACTTGCGATGGTATAGTTCTGTGTTTGTTTTGTTTGTGTTTTCTTTTGTTTTGAGTGATTGTAATCTTGTTTTCTTTTACCTTGTGAACTCTTTCTAAAAAGTTGATTGTTTTCCTTTTGCTTCTTTTGTTGTGAATACGGACATTTAATTGTGGTTTATTTTCTAATATGATGTTATCTTTTCTTTTGCTTGTAGGAACAGAGTGCTTCCAGAAGCGGGCTGGGTTTTGACAGCACCACGGACATTATTTCACTTGGGGTGGCCATTTTTTTTGTGTGTCACTATTGCTGTGTTACTATTTGCAGTGAATTTTGTGGGTGTGATTTCTGATTGGTGTGATTTTTCTTTTTCTTTTGCATACCTAGTGCTGTTATATATAGACTCTGCCTTCTACAGCATTATTATTATTATTAGGATGTTTTTTTTTCTATATTGAGTTATTTTTGTTTCTTTAAATTTCTGTTTTTCTTTTTTTTTTACCTATGACATTGGTGTGTGTGCCAGCTGTGGATTTTAAATTCATGTTAGCCTATTATTTTAGCCTTAATAAAAGTTGTTTGTACAGAGATTCACGCCTCTCGCTCTTTACATGTGGAACGTATTTGCGTGTCCTTATTTGGGTTATTTTTGCCCGGTATTTCGGGGTGGCGTAGTCACTACAACTGGGCCACTTGCTACACAAGCCAAAGGTGACAGTAACCTGCACATGCGTTTTAGCCTATTACAATGTATTTTCTTCAATAAAACACATAAGTGATGATAGTGTTGCTGATTTACCTTGGATTCAAGTGAGAGTGAGCATGCAGTGTATTCACGTGTAGTAACTGCAATCAGAGTGGCAAATTAATGGAAATCTGCCATTTCCTCAAAATAGCCGTCTACATGTGACGCACATACAGTAAAACCATAAGTCATTTACTCTGCTGCGCATAATAGCACCAAATTAAAGAACACAATATATTGACCCACGTTCTGTTTTCTATCATACATTGTGCATGTTTGTGATAATGTAAGATAATAACAAATGCACCAGCGTTTGATAAAATCAAGAGAGTATGAAACCAGACCAATGCTGCGGGGGGTGCCGGGAACAATCGCACTCGGGTTCGAACCACAGCAAACAAGCCCAGTGTGAAGCTACCTTAGACCAGGGTCAGGGTCTTTCCCCTGAGGCAGTGGATGAGTTGCGCTGCACCACAGATCTGGCTCTCAGGGAATGTGCAACACTGTAAAAATGCAACATTGAGAATCATGGTGCAACATTGAGCAGATCTAAATTTAATGCTGCAGTCAACACTTTTCATTTCATTTTCATTTTATTTGCGACAGCCGTAATGAATTTGCTTTAACTGTATAGCAACATTTTTGTCCAAGTGTGTTGCCATAGTTTCTACAAGTGGAAACCGATAGCGCGGATATTACTTGATAGGCGACCATGAACCAGGACAAGCTATTATTTAAAATGTGAATTTGTCTGGATCCTTGGGAACTTTTGGGATAACATAAGTACACAACTTCATGAAATATATCACACTGTGCAAGTGGTTTTTGGATATTTTATTACGAAAATCGTATGTATGCCTTTAAGATGGAAAAATGTGGTTTAACAAATGCTAGAAACATGACTTTCAAAGGAAAGACTGCAGTCAAATAGCACATCTAAGTTCCTATCTGATAATGAAGAATTGACAGCACAGCCTTCAAGTGTTAGACAGTGTTCCAGATTATTAAATGCAGAAGTTTTTGGTCCGATAATTAACACTTCTGTTTTTTTTTTTTTTCAGGATTCAGCAGTTGGAAATTACTAGTCATCCAGTTTTTTTTTTTTTATATCAGCTATGAATTCCATTAGTTTTGCGAATTGGTATGTTTCATCAGGCCATGCAGAAATATAGAGCTGAGTGTCATAAGCATAGCAGTGAAAGCTAACACCATGTTTCCTGATGATATCTCCCAAGGGTAACATGTAAAGCGTCAAAAGCAACAGTCCTAGAATTGACCCTTCTGGTATTCCATACTGCACTTGTGAATTATATGATACCTCTTCTTATTATGATTTGAACCATGCTGATGCAATCCCACTAATACCAACATAATTTTCTAGTCTATTCAAAAGAATGTTGTGGTTGATAGAGTTAGATGCAGCGCTAAGATCCAGGAGGACTAATAGAGAGATACAACCACGATCAGATGATAAGAGCAGGTCATTTGAAACTCTGATGAGAGCAGTCTCAGTGCTAAGATACAGTCTAAATCCTGACTGGAAATCCTCACTGTAATTAACTAATTCTCCAGGATCAAGTTATATATATTTTTTTTTTTTAATGAATAAAAGGCTTAATAACAGCCAGTTAATAATAAAAGGATCTATGACTTCTGGAAGTACCTCTTTAAGTAGCTTAGATGATATAGGGTCTAACATGCATGTTTTGGATGATTTAATACGTTTATACAATTATTCCTCTCCTTTAGCAGTGAATGAGTGGAATTGTTTATCAGGGGATCTATAGTGCACTATCTGATGCGATACTGTGGCTGACGTCTGCATGGTTAGAATTTTATCTCTATACCTGGGGTTGTGTTTGTTTTTTCTAAAAGAGATGAAAAGTAAGCAGATCTAGCAGTTTTTACGACTTTTCTGTATGTAGAAGAACTTTCCCTCCATGCAATACAAAATACCTCTAGTTTTGTTTTCTTTCAGCTGCACTCCATTATCTGACCTGCTCTATTTGGGGCACGAGTGTGCTCATTATAGCACAGTGTCGGACTGTTTTCCTTAATCATCTTTAAGCGTAAAGGACCGACCATGTCTAAAGTGCTAGAAATGAGAGAATCAATAGTTTCTGTTACACCATCAAGTTTTTCTGAGCTATTGGATATGCTGAGGAATTGAGACAAGACAAGAAGATTATTTACAAAGCAGTCTTTTGTTGTAGAAGTGATGGTTCCACCATATTTGTAACAATTATGCAGCTTTAGCTATATGGAGTATACACAAGACTGGATAATGATCTGAGATATCATCGCTCTGCTGAAGAATTTCAAAACCATTAACATCAATTCCATGTGACAGTATTAGATCTAAAGTATGATTACGACAATAAAGTGGTCCTGACACATGTTGTCTAACCCGACCAGTATTTAATATGTTCATAAATGCTGATCCCAGTGCATCTTTTTCATTATCTACATGGATATTAAAATTGCCAAAATCACTTCCGCTGTCTCCTGGTTGTGCTCTCCATCTCCAGCATAAGAAAACCTTCTCTATATTGCTGTCACTAGATGGTACAGTCAGCAGCAACATCATCCAGGTCATCGGGTCTGATTTTACACTTATTCAGGGTGTTCTTCATCTGATCCATATAGCGCTTATTTGGCCCCCCAGCTGAGCGTCAACCATGATGTAGCTGGCCGTATAGTACTCTGCAGGGCAGCCAACATGGGGGCATCCTTATCATGTGCCCCAACCACTGCAGCTGGCGCTGGGTGATTCATGGCCTCAATACTTCTACAGTTGGTCTTTTTAAGTATTTCAGTTTGAGGCACACACCTTCACGAAAGATGTTACAATTATTAAATGGGGTCAGATTACACTGTGTGGGAGCTTGGAGTTTTTAAAAAGATGAGAAAGACAACATACACATAAGTGTATTTACAATATTAACAGGGAACTTAAAACAACACAATAAAACTAGAATAACTTAGGCTGTTAAATGCGTGGAGTTCATTTGTACCATACCTGTTATGTTCAACATGGAATCTCCGAAGCTTGTATAAAAAAAAAATAAAAAAAACACATTTCACATTGAAGCACTGTATCGGAGCTTGATTCATTTTGAGAAAAGCACATGATCTGTGACGTTGGAAGCTTCATTCGCCTGAAAACCACATGACTGCTTCCGTATCTGGTTCAAACTAAGC